ATATATATATATATACATATACATATATATATTTATATATATTTATATATATAATATATATATATATATATATATATATATATATATATATATATATATATATATATATATATATACATATATATATATATATATATATATATATATATATATATATATATATATATGTATATATATATATATATATATATATATATATATATATATATATATATATATATATATATATGTATATATATATATATACACATACACACACACACGTACATATATATATATATATATATATATATATATATATATATATATATATATATATATATATATATATATATATATATATATATATATATATATATATATATATATATATATATATATATATATATATATTTATATAGTATATATATATATATATATATATATATATATATATATATATATATGTATATACGTTTATATGTATATATATATGTATGTATGTATATATGTATATACATATATGCACACACACACACACACACACACACACACACACACACACACACACACACACACACACACACACACACACACACACACACGTGTGTGTGTGTATGTGTCAGGATAAAACTCTCCTTAGCATCGCTCAACAAAACAATAAATACGTCTAAGATTGAAAAAAAAAAACGAAATGAAAAACTTATATAAATACCACAAAAAATATCTATTATTAGCTCACGATAAAAGAGAATGCTAGTCGCCTATGTGGTAGCAGTGTAAAAGCGTGTTCTTACAGTCCAAGGGCAGTGTAGTTGTCACAGCGCCTCGCCTGAATAATGAGCGAGTAAATATATCCAAGAATGTACCGAAATAGTTTCACTTTTCCTTTTTTTGTTGTTTTTTAAATAGTTTTCCTTGTTTTTTTTTTTAGTTTTGTTTCTTCTTTTACTTCTTTTCCTTATTGGTTATTTTTTTAAATTATAGTTTTTCTGGATGTACTATCGATTTTCTTTTAGCTTGACTTATTTCATTTGTCTATGGATATTTTCCCTTAAAAAAATTCTTGCCTTTGTTTCGTAAGTTACTCGATTTGGGTATAACAGGAAAAGGTAAATCTGAAACTATATTCTTCATAAATCAGACAAGAATAATCAATGACTGACCTAGTAATAATGATATAAAATGACAAGGGAGAGGATATTTAAAATAATAAGACAGTAGCATGGTTGCAAAGATAATAATGATCCCAATGATAATATTTACAGCTTACATACACAAATAAAATAATAATAAGACAAATAAAACAGTAATAAAAAAAAGGAAACGAGAGTAAAAAACAGTAATAAAAGATAGCCCTGAAATGTTTTAGCCTCGTTGTCCCTAAAACAAAACACCACGACGTAATTGGTTAAAAATAGACCAAAGAAAAATGGCGTCTTTTCCCTCGCCCTTGTCTTCCTTTTGGTGGGAATTGTTGCCGATTACGCAAATTATTATTTTTTTATGTCAGTTAACTTATAACTAATGCGATGCTATTATTTTAATGATAATAGTGATGATCGCAGTAGTAATAATACCTATAATAATCATAGTAATATTAACAATAACAACATCATACTGATAATAATGATAAAAATGTTAATGCCAATGATAATGACAATTAGTATTACTATCATTATTAATTCTAATAATATCATTATCATTACCACTGTTATTATCATCTTCATCTTCATCGTCATTGATAAGCAATTCTTCCTCTCCATAACAGAACTAGAGCACGTCATGCGCAGTCAGCCTCGAGATCTTTACAGTAAAACAAAAACAACAACAAAAACACAAAAAGAAAATAAGTAAAAATAACAAAACAAAGCAAAAAAACAAAAACAAAAAGACACACACAAGACAAAAAGAAAAGAAAAGAAAGAAACAGAGAGAAAAAATTACAAACAGAGGCTGAATACAGAGATCTGGTACAAACATTCTGGCTTCAGATACTTGAGGAACATTTAGCACATAGACGTTTTAACACAGGCCTGTTCACAAATATCATTTTCAGCGTGACAGTCTATTAAGTTGCCGACGCGAGTGAAAAGAATGTGATAAATGAATAACGAAGATAAAAGGGATATAAAGAAGAAAAGAGATAAAGAGAAAAAGAAGAAAAAGATAATCGATAGGATAACTGAGATCATAAGCTCAACAAAATAACAACAATAATAAATTACGCAGATAGAGATAATAGCAATAATATCTGTTCCTAATAAAATAAAGATAATGATAATAATAACAGCAACGATGAGGTAATAATGTAAGTACGAGGGATAATAAAAGGAAAAAGGATAATCTAATGACAACAATAATCATAAAGTAATTACCACCAAAAATAACAATAAGAATATTACTACTACTACTACTACTACAATAAACGTAACCAAAAAACATCTATTTTTTTACTTAAGAAAACGACTTACTCTTTCCTAAAACTTTCCTTAATCATCCGCCTTATATACCCAATCAAAACGTACCCATCGATTTATCTACAGAAACACCTACCCTGGTTCACGCTTAAAAGTGTAATCGGCAGGTCCTAAACCACAATCCGCTAGTAACTTTCCATATAATTATGCTCTCACAAGCTAACTAATGGAAACATAGTTGCTAAGCACATTTAGCAATAGTAAGAATAATGATGATGAAGATGATAATAATAAAATTGAAAGTAATGGCACTAATAATAATGATAATAATAATGATAATGATAATAATAATAATAATAATAATAATAATAATAATAATAATGATAATAATAATAATAATAACAACAACAAAACACCAAAGCAACAACAACAACAACAACAACAACAACAACAACAATAATAATAATAATAATAATAATAATAACAATAACAACAACAAGCAAAAACAACAACAATAATGATAATGGTAATAATAATAATAATAATAATAATAATAATAATAATAATAATAATGATAATAACAACAATACCAACAGCAAGCACATACAACAACAATAATGATAATGGTAATAATAATAATAATAATAATAATAATAATAATAATAATAATATGGACAATATGTAGTATATGGTAGTGGCAGAGTTGGGTAATAAAACCTACATGAAATGAAAGAAAAATACAAACCAAGACAAAGTTCTTCTATGGCAATATGTGTGCAAATGCTTCCCAAAGGTGCTAGGTATATATATTACCTCGGGGGTCCTGGGGGCAGAGCCCCCTGGCTAGGGAATATATACCACGGTGTTAGGTTAGGTTGGATGTTGGGTTAGGTCGCCGACTTGCACAAGGAACAATGCCTAGAATCGTTGAAAGCAGTGGATTTCATGCAGAAAAATATCAATATTGTTTCGAAAGTAACCCATCTTCCCTTTTCTTTTACGTATAGCACCCTTGGGACGTATTTGCACACATATTGCTATAGAAGAACAATGATATTGTTTTAAATAATAATATTAATGGAAATGACAATAATCATATCAATGACAGCAATATTAAAAACAACAATACTACTACTACTACTGCTACTACTACTACTACTACTACTACAATAATAAAAATAACAGTAATAATAGTAATCATAATAATAATCACAATATTATTAATGATAGTGATATCAGTGATAATAATAACTGATAATATTGATACAATGATGGTAGAAATACAATAATGAGAAAATAATATAAAAAAAAATAGATAACAATGATTACAACAATAAAAGCTTAAATTACACAGAAAGTACAATCGTCATTGAAATTATCAAGGCAAAGCAAAAATCGTTATCGTTATAGAAAAGAACTTAATGGAAATAACAACTTCTTCATGAGTGGTAATAACAATAACCATTACAGTTATAACAACTATAAATGTAAATAAAGCAACGAAGGGAAGAACAAGAAAATATACGAATAAGGTCTTTTCATTATATTGCTCCTCCAGCAGTACAACGAAAATGCCTCACCTTCGTTATCTACTTTATAATTCGCAAACACTAATTAACAATAATTAACTAAAAACGACGCGCCTTTTTCACAACAACCACACGGAAACGAAAACGAAATTCATAAAAGCCAAAAGACACGAAATTAAATAACAATAGTGTTGACTTTCAGATAAGGCGTACAAACAGCTTTGATAAACCCGAGAAAACTCAGGGTAAAAGAGAGTCACGTCATATATGTTAGGTTCCTTTATTTACGTCTTGAGGCCGCTTGGTAAACACTTATATCTTGGGTACACAATTTCATGCACTTTTTGGCGTACCCTGTTCTCCCTTCTGCAAATTGCGCTGGTTTTACGAATTAAAGGATGATCGGATATAAGTATGGATTAAGTTAAATACATACATGTGTACTCATATACATGCGTGGATATATACACATGCACACACACACACACACACACACACACACACACACACACACACACACACACACACACACACACACACACAG